AATATATATATAAATATATATATATTCTTACTGCGTATACACTGCAATCGTTTATCGTGTTTTTGTTTGTTGATTTTCTCTCTTTCTTCTTTTTCTTTCTGTAAACCCCCTTCAAAGAAAGCAGCAGCAATTAATCGGTCTTCGTCTTTAACAGGATGTTCGTCTAAAAAAGATAAATGCTGTAGCTTCATTATTAACTTTCGCCGGTAGTTCTGCATGCGAGACACCTGAAACACACGTACACCACAAACCCTAAACCCTAAAACCCTAAACCCTATAACCTATACCCTATAACCTAGACCCTAAACCCTATAACCTATACCCTATAACCTAGACCCTAAACCCTAAAGCATAAACACTAAACCCTAAAACCCGAAACCCTAAAACACTAAACCCTAAAGCATAAACACTAAACCCTACACCCTAAACCCTAAACCCTAAACCCTATTCCCTAGACCCTAAGCATTAAACAGTAGATAATCATAAACCCTAAACCCTAATACATTATCATAAACCGTAATAAACCCTAATAAACCCTACTAAACCCTCATAAACCCTAATAAACTCTCATAAACCCTCATAAACCCTAATAAACCCTCATAAACCCTCATAAACCCTAATAAACCCTAATAAACCCTAATAAACCCTAATAAACCCTACTAAACCCTCATAAACCCTAATAAACCCTACTAAACCCTAATAAACCCTCATAAACCCTAATGCTTTGTTTGTTTGTTTGAAGCAGAGAAGGAGACAGCTGACCAATGGGTTGCGGTGTATGTACAGCACTTTGAGGGTTTGTATTTGCTGCAGCAAATCTATTGTCTCCTCAGCAGCAAACTTGTTGCTGCTGATGTCTAAGACAGAGAGATAATTAAACTTCGCAAGAACTGCAGCGCTTTCATCACTTAGTTGATTTGCTGCTAAGTGCAGCACCTCCAGCAGAGGGCAGCAGCCATCTGCAGCAACAGCAGCAGCAGAAGCAGCAGCAGCAGCAGCAGCAGCAGCAGCAGCAAGACAGCAACAGCAGCACAAACAACAGCAACAGCAGCCGCAGAAGCAGCAGCAGCAGCACAGCAGCAGCAGCACAAACAGCAGCAGCAGCAAAACAGGGAGCCCTAAACCCTAAACCCTAAACCCTAAACCCTAAACCCTAAACCCTAACCCCTAGGGCCAAAAACCTTAACCCGAAACCTTAGTCCCTAAACCCTAAACCCTCATCCCTAAACCCTAAACCCTAAACCCTAAACGCTAACCTAGGCCTGATAAGTCGGAGATGAAGTTGTTGCTGAGGTTTAAAACCCTCAAATCTCTCAACGCGCTTAACCCCGCAACCTCCCGAATGCAGTTTTCATTCAAACACCTTCAGCAGCAGCAGCAGCAGCAGCAGCAGCAGTACAGGGAGCAGTAGCAGCATATGTATCAGCTGCAGCGTTAGTAGCAGCAGCAGAAGCAAAGGTGGTAGCAGCAGCAGAAGCAGCAGCAGCAGCAGCAGCTGCTGCTGCTGCTGCTGCTGCTACTGTTGCAGCACCAAATGAAGCAACAGCAGTAGACAGCAGCAGAAGCAGCAACAACAGAAACGACAGGGAACGCAAACCCTAAACTCAAACCCCTGAGGCCTCTGCATAAACCCTTTCCTAGGGTTTAGGGTTTGTGAACAGGAGGGTTTGTCTAGGGTTTAGGGTTTAGGGTTTAGGGTTTAGGGTTTAGGGTTTGTTGTTTCGCTCACAGGGTCCGCAGGGAAGTGCAGTTGTCCAAACCCTCAATCTTTGTTATCGCTAAACATAACGCAAACCCTAAACCCTAAACCCTAAACCCTAAACCGCTTCCACCCGCCTCTGCAGAGTTTCTGCTTTGTTTGCTGCTGTTGCTGCTGCTATTGCTGCTGCTGCTGCTGCTGCTACTGTTGCTGGTGATACGGTTTCTGTTGCTGTTGTTGCTGTTTTTGCTGCTGCTGCTGTTCCTGCTCCTGCTGCTGCTGCTGCTGCTGAAGGGGCTGTGTTTGTCGTTTGTTTGCTTTGATATTTCTTTTATGTTTATTTATTTATTTATTTATTTATTGTGTTTATTTGTTTATTTATTTACATCTTTATATATCCCTTTAGGTTGTTTGTCTGTTCGTTTATTTATTAATTAATTTATTTAATTAATTTATTTAATTTATTTGTTTATTTATTTGTTTTGTTTTTATTTGTTTTGTTTTTGTGTATTTGTTTGTCGTTTATTTTATTTATTTTATTTTATTTAATTTTTTGTTTCAACTTGCATTAAAAGGGTTTACTGCCTCTCTTAGGGTTTGCTGTTTGTTTGTTTTTATGCTTTGCTTGTCTTTGTTTGTTTGTAAACCCTAAACCCTAAACCCTAAACTTTTAATCTCTCTCTTCTTCATTTGCTGCTGTGCCGCAGCAGTTTGCTTCTGCTGCTGCTGCAGTTGCTGGCTGCCCTTCACCTATACCCTAAACCCTATACCCTAAACCCTAAACCCTAAACCCTAATAACCCTAACAATCCTAAATCCGTAAACCCTCGCCCCTGTTGACTGTCTGCATAAGGGTTTTTGGGCTCATGGTTTAGGGCCTATGGTTTAGGGTTTAGGGTTTAGGGTTTAGGGTTTAGGGTTTAGGGTTTAGGGTTTAGGGTTT